AGACTAAATCAACCTAAAAGGTTTCTGTGCAGCAAAGGACACCACAAACAAAATGAAAAGGCAACCTATGGAATGAAAGAAAATATTTGCAAATCACATATCTAATAAAGAGTTAATACCCAAAATACATAAAGAACTCACACAACTCAATATAAAAATCTTTTTACAAAATGGGCAGAGGAATTGAACATTTTTACAAAGATGACATACAAATAGCCAACAGGTACATGAAAAGGTGTGCAACATCACTAATCATCAGAGAAATGCAAATCAAATGAGGTATCACTTCACATCTATTAGAATCGCTACCATCAAAAAGATGAGAAATAACAAGCATTTGCAAGGATGTGGAGGAAAGGGAACCCTCCTACACTGCTGGAGAAACATAAATTGTTGCAGCCATATGGAAAACAGTATGGAGAGTCCTCAAAAAGTTAAAAGTAGAAATACAATATAATATAGCAATGTCACTTCTGAGTACATACCGAAAGGAAACAAAACTATTATCTTAAGAAGATACATGCCCACCCATGCTCACTGCAGCATTATTTAATAGCCAGGACAAGGAAACAACCTAAGTGTCCATCAACAGATGAATGGATAAAGAACACATGATACACACACACACACACACACACACACACAAAACCAGGAATATTATTCAGCAATAAAAAATAAATCCTGCCATTTGCAACAACATAGATAGACCTTAATGCTAAGTGAAATAGGTATAATGGTAAGTGAAATAATTCAGACAGAGGGAGAGGAATACTGTATGATACCAGTGTTATCATTCAGTGTTATACATGGAATCCTAAAAAAACAAAAACAAAACAATGAATACCTAGGTACAGACAGAAGATTGATGGTTGCCAAAGCTGGGTCAGGGGGTGGAGGGTGTTAAAAACGTACAAGTTTCTAGTTATAAGATACGTAAGATCTAGGGATGTAATGTAGAGCATGGTGACTATACTTAACAATAATGTATCATATATTTGAAAGCTCATACAACAGTAGATCTTAAAAGTTCTCATCATGAGAAGTAAATTGTTAACTATTTGTGGTGATGGATGTTAGCTAAATTTATTGTGTTAATCATTTACTAATGTATGCATATATAAAATAATTATGTTGTACACATAAAGCTAATACAAGTTATGTCAATAAAATTATACCAATAAAATTAGTCTTTAAAACCATTGGGAAGGTACTAATTAAAATAGCCATAGAGTGAATTAAATCTTTACACACAATATTCTCAAACAGGAATGTTATTATGAATGAAACAATTCATTATGGTATTATTTAAGTAGGTAAAATTTTTGGAAAATACTATGTAAAATTATTAACCTCCAACATTCCCTTATAATAGAATATGTTATCCAGGAATTAATAATCTTTAAAACTATCTAACAACATGGAAATTTTTATAATACCATTCATAAAAGCACTAAAAAAACAGAGACCTAGAATAAATCAAGGATCCCCATACTGCAAACTATAAAACACACCAAGTGACCTCTGGAAGATAGGAGAGTAACAAGTACCTACCATCTTCCCACCTAGACAACAATTGTACTGGCAGAGTATGTCTGATACAACTATTTTGGAATTCTGGAGTCTACTGAAGGCTTTCAATCTCCATTCAGAAGGTTCATCAGTAAGTTAGTTAATTTCAGCTCTCAGAGGTAGTAACAGCTACCTATCCAACAGCTCCAACCTGGAGGTAAGCATCAATGCCTGAGTTCCTAGAAGAGTTTTCATGGACTTGCAGTCACCATGGTGGAGAGTTAAGGACTTTGTCCTTCAAACACAGGGAATCTGTATTTTGATCACTGATTGCTGTTTCTGATCATGGATGAGCAGAGGCAGAGACAGGAAGCCACTGATGTAACAACCACCACCATTGTGCAACACTCTCCTCATCCAGTTAAAATGACTTCCAGAAGATTCAAAGGGCTAGTATCTATTTGTTTTATTTTCCTCCCTTCATTTTTTCCATTTTCTCCTTTTGGGAGTCAACCATGTAAGGGCTAGAACATTAAAAAATAATCACAAAAGACAAGGGAATTTAGAAAGTTTCATATATGACCAGAGAACAACATAGGCTCAGAAAAAAACCTGAGACCTCATGTTTACATAATCAGGCTGATCCGTGGAACAGAGATATATTACAACAATTGAAAAAAAAAGGAAAAAAATCCAGCAGGCACTGGGGAAGTGGGAGAATATGATTTTCAGACTTAACCAAATTTTAAGACTCAGTCAGGTTTTCAACAACAATAACTACAAAAAAATCACAAGGCACCCAAAGAAACAGGAAAGTATGACCAACTCAAATGAAAAAAGTAAATCAACTAAATTTGTCCCTGAAAAAACACAGAAGGCAGACTCAATAGACAAAGACATTAAAACAACTGTCTTAAAGACTCTCAAAGAGCTAAAAAAAAAAGTATTGGACAAAGTAAAAAAGAAAAATGATTTATAAGAAAGCAAAACTATCAGTAAGGAGATAAAATAAGTGAACCAAAAGGAAATTCTGGAGCTAAATAGTAAAATAACTGAAATGAAAAATTTACTAGAATGTTTCAAAAGCAGATTTGGTCAGACAGAAGAAAGAGTTGGTGAATTTGAATATATGACTATGCAAATTATCAATAATGAGAAACAAAAGAAAATTTTAAGAAAAGTGTACAGAGCCTAAGTGACCTGTGGGACACCAACAAGGAGAAAGAAAAGGCAGAGAGACTACTAGAATTTAAAAAATCACCAAAAAGTTCCAAATTTGATGAAAAGACATGAATATAAACATCCAAGAAGCCCAAAGAACTAACAGTAGAATAAACCAGGAAACATTATGTTGTCGAAAGACAAAGGCAAAGAGAGAATCTGGAAAGCACCAGGAAAGAAGTGCTCTATCACATACCAAGAATCCTCAATACGATTATGAACATACTTCTCATCAAAAGCCACGGTTGCCATAAGATACGAGGTTGGGATATTCAAAGTATTGAAAGGAAAAACAGTTAACTAGAAATCCTGTATCAGGGAAAACTACCCTTCGAAAATGAGGGCAAAAACAAGACATTCCAAGATAAAAGCTGAGGGAGTTTGTTACTACTAGACCAGCCCTACAAGAAATGCTAAGGAGTTCTTCATGCTGAAATCATAAAACACTAGACAGTAACCCAAAGCCATATGAATAAATAAAGATGATTGGTAAAAGTAAATATATAGACCATTATAAAAGCTATTCTTGTAACTTTAGTCTGTAATCTGCCTTTTTGTTTTTTATATGATTTAAGAGACTAATGCAATTTTTTAAATTATTTGACTATATTTTTGAAAATGAATAAAGATATAATTTTGTAAGAACAATGACTGAAAGGAGATGAGGACACAGCTGTATGAGACCACAGCTTTATGTTATTTAAGTTAAGGTGATATAAATTCTAATAAGAGTGGTATAACTTTGTAATATTAAATATATTCCCCATGGAAACCACAAAGAAATCACCTACAGAATACAGACAAAAGGAAATAAGAGAATCAAAAAGCTTTACTATAATAAAGTAAACAAGAGAAAGACAATAATAAAAATGCAGGAAATAAGGGGGGGGAAAAGCTAAGATATACAGAAAACAAATATTAAAATGACAAAAAATAAGTCCCTCCTTATCCATAATTGTTTTAAATGTAATCAATTAAACTCTCCAAACATGATAAATATTGGCAGAATGAATTAAAAAGAATATGATCCAACTATTCTGGAATTCTGGAGTCTACTGAAGGCTTTCAATCTCCACTCAGAAGGTTCATCAGTAAGTTAGTTAATTTCAGCTATTAGAGGTAGTAACAGCTACCTATCCAACAGCTCCAACTGAGTCACTTCAGATCCAAAGACACAAATAGGTTGAAAGAGAAAGGATGTAAAAAGATATTCTATGCAAATACTAGCCAAAAGAGAGCTGGAGTGGCTATAATATTATCAGACAAAATAGATTTTGATTCAAAAAGTTTGTAAGAGACAAGAAGGACATTATGTATTGGCACAAGATTAAAAGCAACAAGACGAATCAACAATTATAAACATTTACATACCTAATAAAACCATCAAAATATATGAAGCAAAAATTGACAGAACATAAGAGAAAAATAGTTGAACAACAGTTGGAGACTTCCATACCCCACTCTCAACAATGGATAGAACAACCTGACAGAAGATAAGTAAGGAATTAGGGGACTTGAACAACACAAAAAAATCTACTCAACCTAACAGACATATACAGAGCACTCTGCCCAACAACAGACTACATGCAGTCTTCACAATTTCATATGCTGCTCATTCTCCAAGACAGACCATATTTTTAGACAACAAATTGTCTCAATAAATTTATAAAGATAAATTTCATACAAAGCATCTTCCCTGACAACATAGGGTGAAGTTAGAAACCAATAACAGAAAGAAAACTGGAAAATTCACATTTGTGAAAATTGAACACACTATTTAGCAACCAATGGATCTCAGCAGAAATCAGGGAAATTAAAAAATGCTTAGGAATGAAGAAAATTAAAATATGACATATCCAAACACAAAAGAAGTGCTTAAAAGAAAAATGCATAACTAAGACGCTGGCATTAAAAAAGAAGAAATATCTCAATAAACAACCTAACTTTACAACTTAAGAAACTAGGAAAATAACAACTAAATTCAAAGGTAGTAGAAGGAAAGAAATAGTAAAGATTACAGCAAAGAAAAATAAACAGAAAAAAAAAACCAGGAGGAAATCAACAAAACCAGAGGTGAGTTCTTCAAAAAGATCAGCAAAACTGACAGACTATTAGCTAGATGGACCAAGGAAAAAAAGAGAAGATTCAAAGTAGTAAAATCAGAAATGAAAATGAGAACATTACTACCAATCCTACAGAAATAAAAAGAATTACAGGAGAATATGATGAACAATTGTATGTCAACAAATTCCTATTGACACAAAACTTACCAAGACTGAATCACAAAGAAATAGAAAATCTGAATAAGCACAAAACTAGTAAGGACATTGAGTCAGTAACCAAAAAACTCCTAACAAAAGAAAACCCTGGATCTAATAAATAACCAGTGATTTTTACCAAGCCTTTAAAGAACTAATAATCTCAAATTCTCCCAATAAATTGAAGAGGGTAGAACACTTCCTATTCTATTTCCATTCTATGAGGTCACCATTACCCTGATACCAAATCCAAACAAAGACACTATAAGAAAACTACAGACCAATGTCCCTTATGAACACTGATGCAAAAATCCTCAATATGCTCCAAACAGAATCAAGAACTCATTATGATTATACACTATAACCATGTGGATTTATTCCTGGAATGCAAGGATGATTCAACATACAAAAATCAATCATTGCAATACATCACATTAACAGAATGAAGGAGGAAAACCACATAGTCATCTTGGTAAGAAAAAACTTTTGACAAAATTCAACACCCTCTCCTGATTATTAAAAAAAAAATTTTAATTCAACAATCAAGGAATAGAAAGAAACTACCTCAACATAATAAAAGTCATATATGAAAAAAAACACAGTAAACATCATAATGGTGAAAGGCTGAAAGCTCTTCCTCTAAAATCAGAAATGAGACAAAGATGCCTACTTTCACCACTTCTAGTCACCATAATACTGAAAATTCTAGCCAGAACAATTATGCAAGAAAAAGAAAAATCAATGAAATTGGAAAAAGAAGATAAAATCATCTATTTACAGATGATATATGTAGAAAACTAAAAATTACACACATACACACAATAAAAAAAGAAAATTAAGAAACAATTCCATTCATAATACCTTCGAAGAAGAAAAACAAAAATTAATTTAATCAAGGAAACAAGACTTATAAAATGAAAACTACAAAACAAGGCTGAAAGAAATTAAAGAAGACATTAATAAGTGGAACATATTCCATGATCATGGATTTGAAGACTTAATATTGTTAATAAATCAGTAATATCCAAAGCAATCTACAGATTCAATACAATCTTATCAAAATCACAATGATTTTTTTCTTTGCAGAAATAGAAAAACCTATGCTAAAATTCAGACAGAGTCTTAAAGGGCCGCCTATAGCCTAAACAATCTTGAAAAACAATAAATTTGGAAGTCTCACACTCCCTGATTTCAAAACTTACTACAAAGCTACAATAATCAAAACAGCATGGCACTAGCATAAAGACAGATACATAGACCAATGGGATGTAATAAAGAGCCCAGAAATAAACCTTCACATATATGGTTCAGATTTTCAACACAGGTGCCAAGATCATTCAATGGGAAAAGAATAGCCTTTTCAACAAGTGATGCTGGGAAAACTGGAATTCCACATGCAAAAGAATGAAGCTGGACCTTCACCTAACACCGTATACAAAAGTTAACTCAAAACAGATCAAAAAGCTAAAACTATAAAACTCTCAAAATGAGTGAAAATCTTCATGACACTAGATTTAGCAAAAATTTCTTACATATGATACCAAAAGTACAGGCAATGAAAGAAAAATGGACAAACTGGACTGTATCAAGATTAAAACTTCTTTACATCAAAGGGCAGTATCAATAGAGTGGAAAGGCAACCCAAAGAATGGGAGAATATATTTGAAAATCATATTTCTGATAAGATATTAATATTCAGAATACATAAAGAATTCCTAAACCTCATAAACAAAAAACAACCCAATTTATCAATGGGCAGAGGACTTGAATATACATTTCTCCAAGGAAGATACATGAATAACCAATAAGCACATAAAAATAAGTTCAACATCACTAATCATAAGCAAATCAATATCAAAACCACAATGAGATACTGCTTCAAATCCATCAGATGTCTTTTATATAAAAAAAGCAGAAAATAACAAGTGTTGACAAGGATGTAGAAAAATTGGGACACCTGTCCACTGCTGCTGGCAATGTAAATGGCTCAATGCTATAGAAAACATTTATGGTGGTTCCTCAAAAAATTAATACCATAATTACCATACGATCCAGCAATTCCATTTCTGTGTAGATACCCAAAAGAACTGAAAGCACAGACACAAATACTTGCATACCAATGTTCCTAATAGTGTTACTCACAATAGCCAAAAGGTGGGCAACCCAACTATCCATAGATATTTATGCCAGACTACAGTAAGCCAAAAAAAGTAGTCAGAACTTCAATTAGAAAAGTAATCTCCAAACTGTTGTTCTGGATCTGATACCACATATAAAGCATCACAAATTAAAACAGTCGTTGACTATATGTGGGGTTGAGGAGGTCTTTCGAAGGATAAATGAAAATACAGGGTTTAAACATGGACAGATTTTGCAAAACAAAATTTTAAATTTCTACTTTATAGAAGATACTATAAACAAAGTAAAACTAAAAATAGGAAACTTGAGAAAATTTTTGCAAATATATAACAGTTAATACTGTTAATGAGAGTAATTACAAATCAATAAGAGATAGAACACCACAATACATACAAAGACCAAAGAGAAAACATATAAGAAACATAAAATCCATGTTCACTAAAAATAAAAAATGATTAAAATGAAAATTTATATTTTGGCAACAAGTTGTCAAAAAAAAGTCAATGATAACCTTTAATTCTGGTTAAAATACAGGAGAATGGCACTATAAGCATTTACAAGAAATACACAAAGGTGTATATATAATCCACTTACTGTAGCATCACTATATAGACAGAAATGAAAAATACCCTACATGTCTACTCACTGGAAGTACATACATGTAAAAGAAAATAAAATAGATCTCTCTGTATTGATATGGAAAATAATCAAACTAAAAAAGAAAACCTAATTTTCTCATTTATTCCTCCAGCATACCTAGGCATTATTACCTCATTTAGAGATGAGGTAAACTGAGGCATAGAGAAAGAGGCAGAAAACACAAGTTGGCCTAAGCTGCCTACATACTAAATAAGTTAAGAAAGGTATGACACTTATCACAATGTAACATCATAGTAAAGACTTAACATACATTAGTTAAAAGTTGTTACAAGGGCAATATAAAAGCCTAATAATTAAGTACTGTAGGTTAGAATGATAAATTGTCACCTAGAAAAAATAAAAATGCTACTTCAAGAACCATTTTAATTTAAATTTCCTATTCTCCCTTTGGTGTTTTCTATTATTCCTCTATTTTTGGCACAAAACACAAGACGCTTTTCCTACATAACTTCATTCAGGCTGTTGTTATGATCAATAATAACAGTTAAGAACACTAAAGACAGGCTAAGCTATAGCAAGACTTGATCCTTTATATAACATTTTCCATATGTATCATCTAAGGCACAAGTGTTATACTTTCAGGGAAAACCTCCTCTTTTCAGTGATTGCCCCCATTCTTCAACTCACCAATTTTTAGTTGCTACCTGACATTGTATCTTTGTAACAAGAGTTTTGGCATGTTTATCACGTTCTCTACAATAACAGAATAACAATAATGTCAGAACATCATGTCTCCTTCTGAGAAGATCCAAATATTTCTATTTACTCTTCCTGATCTTGAGATTGGCAAACTGGGAGGAAGCTGGTTACAAGAGTCCCATCCTCGAGCCTACCTTGTGTTAATCCTGTATTTTGTGTCTATGGAGCACATCCACTGAAGTGATGGTATGGTCATTCTTGCCATTTACTTCCTTGGGGCGCTTTGGGGTCTTTTCAAAATGAACTCACTTTAAGGGACGAGAGAACTAAAGCTTCATTTAAGGGGAGTACCATACTCCTACTTAACCAAATGGTAATACTAGTATGACTGTGACAGTGGCGTTGACAGCACTGACAATGACAACAGAGGTTAGCAGTGATTTTAGGATCAGCATTCTCACTACAGAAGACTTCAGTGCATTAACCAAAGCGACAGCCTTAAACGGCACTTTTGATACCAGCACTGATAAGAAAGACACAATAATATCTACCATTTATAAATCACCTACTAAGTTCCAGGCATTATCTTAGGGACTTTACATAGGTTATCTTCTTAAATCTGCACAATAATCCTATAAAGTATGTATTATTATCCCTTTTTAAAACGGAATAATTTGCCCAGGGTAAGTCAGTGTGTTAGTAGTACTGCTAAAATGTGAATCCAGATATCTGGCCCCCAAATCTATGCTTATGCCAAATGCAAGAATCAAAGACAACTACCACCAAGAAGAATTTTCAGGGCCTACATGAAATACCACCTGGAAATTTCATAACTATTTAAAAGGACTTAAGGAGAGCTAAAGTTCTTACTGAATACATTTTAGAAATAGCCAGAAGTTTTACCCTATTATCATTAAACTTTAGCCTCAGATTGGTATAAAGCTTATAAAGTACAGATTACAATTTTATAGTTTCACAGAATCCTCACCAATAGTGCTTTTTCTCCAAACAGCATGAATGTACACTGGTATCATTTGAATTCCATGATGACCATTCATCATAGCAACTTTTTCTATATCAAGTATTTCTAATAATAACATTTTATTTCTAAGTTATTTTATGTGCACAAAAAATTCTTATGTGTAAGATGTAAAAGAGATAATAAACAATTTTCTGAGGTAGAAAAGGTCATTCAAAATTACTCTCTTTTTACAACTCAGGAAACCAAAGCTCAAAGTTAAATGACATGAACATTAACCCAACTACACAAAATTCAATATGCATCTAATTAAGCACCATGTATAAATGCAAATAAGACATGCTATCTCCTTTAGGAGCTCATGGTCTAGCAGAGGAGGAAGAAATAAACACCCACAGTACAAAATGATAATGCATTTCTAATATCTCTAATTATATATTAAATGTATTAGTAACGGGATAATGCCACTTTTTTTTCCAGCAAATTCAGATGGAGGCCTAATAAGATGCAAAGTTAAAATTGTCATTGATATTTGTTGTTTTGTCTTAGTATGTTAGCTAACATTTGTTTTATACTGTACAATCTCTCAAATGTAGATACATTAGTTTCAGGTGTTTAAAAATACATTCCTGCCCTTTTTAACAGGGATGGACCTTAGGAAGATTAAGCTAAGTAAGCTAAGTTGGATAGAAAAAGATAAACTCTGTATAATATCACTTATATATAGAATCTAAAACACTGAATTCAGAAATAGAATAGATTGCTGGTTAACAGGGGTTGGGAAATTAAGGAAATGTTGATCAAAGGATATAAACTTGATGAATAAGATGAGTAAGTTCTGGAGAGTTAATGAGCAATACAGTGAAAATAGTCAACAATATTGTATTATATACTTCAAGGTTTCTAAAAGACTAGATCTTAAATATCCTTACCACAGAAAAGAAATGATCATCTGATATGATGGAGATGCAAGCTAATGCTATGGTGGTAATCATATTGCAATACATAAGCCTATCAAATCAACACACTGTGCACCTTAAATTTACACAATGTTGTATGTGAATTCTATCTCAATAAAACAATGAATAAATAATAAAAGAAAAAAAATTGTCACTAATAATTGACTAAGCAGAACCTAGGTAAAAACATAAAATATTCTCCAAAGGGAGAAAAATTTTTAAATGATAAGTTCATAAGAAATAATTTACAAAAAATACAATGTGTTAGAAATGTTAAGAAATTTGTTACAGATCTTTAAAAAGGCAATTATAAATACTCTTTAATGTAATTAGACTTAAAAGAGAAATACATACCAGAAGTTACCTCTGAATGGTTCAGGGCAAAAACAGAAAAAAAATTTAAGACTGAAGCAGTAATTTTTCACTCAGATCAAACTATTTATTGTCATGGTTGAAAGCAGAAAATTAATAACTAAAGTTCACGGTAAATGAAAAGTTAAAAGATCTAGTAGTATTTACTAACTGACATCCTCTAGCTTCTTCCCACAATTTCTTTCTTATTTACATACCCCACACAAGCATCTCCCAGAGCTTAAAACAAAAAGCACTTCCAGATTTCCATTTCTCTTATTGGCACAGTAAGCCAGATTTGTTAATGGAATTCAACTATCTCAAACCATTTTTGTGAGGAACATGTTCATTCATTCAGCAAATATTTACTGAGTACTAAATACCAAGTACAGTTCTAGAATCTGAACATAAAAACAGTGAATAAGACAAGATAGAGGGATGGATTGATGGACAGACAGACAGACAACGAAATGAGTAAATAGGACAGAGAAGGAGGAGGAATAGATATAAGGGAATGGATTTCAATTATACCAGACAAATAAACTGAAATAATGAACTATGTAACTAAATTATCACTGAATCTGTATAACTGCCCAAAACATAGGTAGAAAGACCAGTACATTTTGAAACTGATTATTAGTTATAAACTACTGGTTCAAACAGCCACTCCAGCAACCAGGGAAGAAAAATTGTATTAGCCATCAGTGCACATATTCCTCATGTTTACAATAACATATCTGGGGGTAAGAAAAGAGGAAGGCTCATAAGAAAAACTATATTTTGAGTGTAGTTATCGCTAAACATACCTTTCAGATAAAAAGGAGTTCTTGTGAGGATTTAGATTTTGACAAGATTCTAGGCTGCCATCAGATGATGAAGAAAGCTGCTCTGATTTCAAGTTGTCTGTATCACTCAAAATGGCCTCAGTTACAGATGAGGTCTTTATGTATTTTCTTCCTAACTCCGTTCCCAGGACATTCGTCAATATAACTCTGGGTATCCTGTCACACAAAATAAACACTGTACTGTATGGAAGTTTCCAGCAAAAAATGTTTTCTAGGAAGTTGAATTTTCAAACATTTCATCTTAGCACAAGTAAGCTATTAGATCTATACCACACTAGAAATCAACCCATATATACTCAAAATTTTGGATGAACACACTCTTTTTTTGTTTCTAGAAGTACTGTGTCTTATAAATTGGCATAGATTAGCCTGCCACTATAATGGCTTTAACTAATACTAAAGGATGCCATTAGGGTGCTTAAAATTTTAACTAATTTTTCTCAAAAAATGCTTTATTTTTCCTGTAGTTATTAAAAACAGGTTACTTAAGACCAACTTAAGAAATCGTTACTCTTCTCATTCAGGAGAAAGGTCCTTGATAGGTAATTACGTGCTTACAATTGACAAATGACAAATGATAAATCCAACAGGAAAGACATCAGTCAGTTTACATCAATGGTAATCAGAGATTCCACACTGAAACAACACATATACTTATAGTAATACATATGTTTTATACAATATCATCAGGGAAAGAGTCAATAAATTAAATGTTTAGAAACTTAAACTCTATTTTTAAAGTGCCATTTTAAACTGTAAGAGTTCATGTACTGTACTTAGCTCAGTCTCTTCTTAAACAGAAGAGAATAGTATGGTTTTTTCTTAGCCAGTTTTTATTATGAACAACTGATGTCCTTTGCCAAACTACAACGATGTCCTCAAGACAACTATTTGGTCTTGAACTGACTGGCTCAAACCAAATTATTCTGATTTTTCAGTTTTTGTTACTGCATATTTTAATTTTTCTATCTCCTCTTTATCAGATATTCCCTTTGACTGTTATCAATACGTTACTAGCAGCACTTTACTGATCCTTTGTGCGAAAGAATAGATAACATTTAGAAAGGGCCAGAATACTTCTGTTTAAGTGAAAAAATGTGAGCTTCCCTGTACTTTGTGACATTTGCTATAGTACTTCAGGGTACTCTTTATCTTCAAGACATTGAAGCACTATGTTCTTTTCACTTTTCCAGACAGCACAGAATTTCAGATCTTAGGAGAACCTTAAAATAATTCAGTCATCTTTTATTTTAAACATCAAGAACTCAACCTCACAAAGGTTAAATGGGTTCCCGAGTATAAGTAACCCTTCCCAGTAAAATAACCTGGAACGGTTCTTTTTTTCTTTTTTAATTCCACCACACTGTATTCTCAATAATTACTTGCCATAGATTCCAGGTAACTAAGCTTTTCTACAGATATTTCAGGAAACCCTTGAAAATATTTATTTGCAGCACAGTCAACATAAAAAGCATTGCATGATTAAATAGTATATATGATCTAAAAATAAGCTAGTAGTAAATACAACCCCTGAACTCAGAATTTCAGTGAAGAAAGAAGGGAAAGGGAATCTGCCATCTACTATAACCACTGTGAGGACAGGATGACAAAGATATATTTCTACCTCCTTGTATGATTTATATCTCTAAGGATACTATTTATTACTCTCTGCTTTGTATATTTGATGCCTCATAGAACCCTCCTTAGATTTCTGGATCTGAAGTAAGAATAGAGGCAATATAGGACTCAGTAAGAAGTCTCAAGATTTCTTTTATCTGATCTCACACTAGGAATTGTTATGAAATGAATTACTAAAGACAACTCAACTGTGGTTCTCAATACTTTAGGAAAACTGCAGGAATATTAGTAAAGACTATTTTATTTAGGTTAAAAATAACTTTTTCCAAATAAATATTTTAGTATAAATAAAAATGCACTTACTTTTAATAGATAAGAGAATCTGATAATCTAAATTAACAACTCATTTTAAGAATTGACGATGAGCTCTTTTTATGGTCCTCTATCATTATTGAATTCTAAAATATGATTCATCATAAAAATAATCCAAAAACCATTGTATTTAAATAAAGAGAAAATCTGGGGCATATAGAAGACACATCAAAGAAGTGTCAGCTATCATTCAGTATCTCTGTTTAAATGCCTATCGTATGTTTAAATATGTTTAAAAATGTCAAGTCCCTCAAAAAAGTTCTCTCCAAATAGGGAAGATGGGGTCCACAGAAGATTAGTCTTATACAAAGTGTTAAAGAGAATAATCAGAAGAAGAAAAAAAAGTACAAATAACAGCAAGGAAAAGGAAAATTTTTAAAGATTAGAATTCTCTTCTGAATAATAAATGATCATCCTATTCTTGCATGTTTGTTTTGAAGCTTGATTTTGAAGAAAGAAAAAGCAAATAAGGGATGTTCCAAAGAACCTTGGAGGATAAAGGAGACCTTTGAAGTTAAACAAATAACTACAAGTCTTTCTTAGAGAAAGAAATTTCAAAATTCACCCAAAAATCACTTGAAAAGAATGTATCTCAAGTGGCAGTAGAAGCTGCATCTCTGAAGCACAAGTGCCCTATAGGGCTTTTGAAGCTATCAGAAGGTGCAAGGAACTATCTCAGCATGTCTACCATGGTGTAACTCAATTAGAAAGCACTCTGTTACTGTGTGAACAAAAGCCACAAGGAAAAATTTTAAGTAGAACACTTCAAGATTAATAAATTAGATGCCATATAAAATATGTAATAAAGTCCAATTCCTACCTGACTTATGAAAAAAATTAAAGTCAGAAGAGTGAAAAGCCGTGTAGCACAGGGGTTAAAGGCAAGGTTTCTGGAGTGAGACAAACACAGGGTCAGGTCTTATTTCAACACCTAATAACTAAAAACCTTAGGCAAGTTACATTATTTACACCTCTTAGCATTCATCTCTTCATCTCTAAAATAGGGAGAATAACATCTACCTTACAAAGTTGTTAAGATTAAATGAGAAAATAGATGTAAAGCCGCACAAGTCCTGGCACATAGTAAGTACATAATATATGAAAATTCACTTTACTTTTCCTATTATTGAAGTCTTGCTCAAAGTCAAAATTATCCTTTCAAATAGTGCTTAATTATCATAATTTATCATGCTCCGCAATCTTAATGAACGTATTTTATTAGAAAGGTACATATTTAAATAGTTATCAATGCCTACAGTATATCCAGTTCTTCGTAACACACAGCCATAGTCCAAATATCTTTCAACAACTATTTACAATTTATGCAATCTGGGTACCTTGAGGAAACCAAGAGCTTTGTGTGATAGCCTTAACAGAATACAAATGTATAAAGTGACGACTAAGTTCATAATACCTAAGATGTCTGTTAGTGTATGTAAATTAATAGACATGGAAATTCCAGGGATAGCCAGCATTTCCCAAGATTCTGAATTTACAAGAAATATATAAAGGTGTGTATTTCATCTCTCAAAATATGTAAAGAAGGACTGAAAACTGTCATTTCATAGTCTATCCAGGTTTTTTCCCTAGTATATAACTAGTATCAGTATGTAAAACAGAATTTAACTTTACTTACTAATATTATGAAATCACAGTTCAAAATATAAGTATGTTAAAAGAAAGCAGTAACAAATTTTGTAATGCACTGAGATGAAGCAGAAAGTATACTAGCCTGAGAAGTAATGTCATTTTTTGACTGTGTCTCTGCATGGTTATTCTTTTTAATTCTCAGTTTTCTCAATTACAAATTGTGTGTTCCTTTGTTACATATGCAGTAAGATACATGAAAGATTCAAACAGTCAGATAAATAAGGGTGAAACTTTGAAAAACTGTTAAGAACTATTAATACAAACTTCATGTCAAGAGCAAATTTTAGAAGAAATGGAACCGTTGTCGAAAGATAACATAAGTATATCTGGTAATAAAGCTACAGTGTAACAAGCAAAAAGATTACAATACTAATTTAATTTTCATCTTGCTGTAACATAGATGAATGCCTTTCTAAAACTGTGGCATGTGACATTTTAATAGGGTTCTCAGAAATATATTCTTACCCCAGATGATATAATTCAAAATACGATTTCTAAATTAGTTCCTTAAGCTCTGTAGAAAAAAAATTTTGATTTTTGAGTAATTCTCTTAAAGAGATTCACAGATTTTCTAACATTCTTTTCTTTTACTAAGCTAAATTTCAAGTGAGTAAATTATCACTCAACTAAAATATTACTCGCTAAAATAAATCTTAAGGTGACAGGAATACTGTAGTGTCCAAAAAGTCTTACCATCACAATATCCGGAATATGTAATTTTTAAAAACATCAAACATATGTATATTTAAGAAAAAAATGAATAAATATAATTATACCATTTAGAGGGGTTCCAAGAACCAGGAGCTACCTTTTCTTAATGGAACATGGGTACACTGTGTCCTCCTTCACTAACAATCTCTCGTGCCAGTCGATGAAAGCAGGAGGAAGACGGTTTATCTCCTCAAAAGCCTTATGTATGTGTCCCTCTAGGCTCTTTCTTGCCTAGTTTCATGTCAAGGTTTATAAAGGTATGGAAATTTTTTCCCAGGAAAATAGATGTGAATCATATATTAAGTTAAAACCTACATTAAAATATGGTTTTATTTTTTTTTAATTTGGTAGCTTGAGATTCCTAAAACTCTTGAACCTTTTCTTCAGTATTTAAGACTGATTTGGATCATGTTTTCTGTTTTTCTTCTCAATCTTATCCATAAATTAAAAGGCTAAACTGTCCTTACATAAAAGTCAATATACTTAGATTAGTACTACTTTAAGATCCTAGAATGCAATTTCTGGAATCAAATGAGTAATTTTGGTTTACTCAATAATTAAGCTTTCAAGTAAAATTAAAGACCAAAAATAAATATTTCTTTCATCTTTCTGAAATAATGAAGTCCTATCTAAGTAAAAATGAAAATAAGACCAAAATCATTACATCAAAGTTGAGCAAAAGTTGAAGAAAGCCTAGGTCTCCTATTCTAGATAGGAAGTCCCAGACAGAAAACTTCTATCCAAAACTATACCCTCAACAGTTCTCCAAGTTTCTTATTTGAAGCTTGTAGTATCTCTTTTCCTGGTTGTCACCAAAATTATGGAGCAAATATTGGTTCTGATGGAGGAATATACATTTCAATAAAAAAGACTGGAGCTGTTTATCTGTGGAGAAGAAACCTCTTTCTTGTGTTAAGCAAACATTCATTGGTCATTTACTATGTGCCCAATACTGTGCTACACAGTAGTAATAGAAGAAAAATAAGAAAATATAGTCCCTGTTCTCAGGAAGTTTGCTGCCAGAGAAGGTGAGAAACTGAAAAACTAAGTATAGTGTTTGGGCTATGATACATGAATAGACTGCTTAGCAAGATAAAGAAAGGTATCAAATGCAGGTGTAGGGAGTGCAGTCAAGGAAGACTGCCCAAGAAGATGGCATATGAGCTCAATAATAAAGACCAGTAGAAGTCAGTAAAAGGGAAAAGGAGAACTGTTTCCAAGATAAGAAAAAAAATAGCATGAACTCAGTGGTATAAAACAGTATTAAACAGTATTACGCATTCAGTGAGCTACCAATTTCAATATAGTTCCCTAAGTCTAAATCACAGCATGAATGCAGAGTAATGGGCAAACACACGGCTAGAGACAGGCAATGTGAGATCATTAAGGACCTTGTGTGCCAAGCTAAGGAATTTGAACTTTATTCTGAAGGTTATGTGGAGCCACAGAAAGATGTTAAACTAGAGAGTGACAAGTAACATCTGCCTTTTAGAAAGAACACTTTGGCAACAATACAGGGAAATAATCAAGAAGAAAAAGACTATTCACAGGAAGCCCAATCAAGTTACTATCATAATAATAAAGGCACAAAGTTATTAGGGTTTGAACCAAGGCAGTGACAATAAACATGCAGAAGAGATCATTTCAGAAGGTAAAAATAATTAGACAAGGTAAATGACTGGGTATGAAGGGTATGGAAGAAAGAGGAGTCAGGAAAATACCCAAGTTCTAATATGGAGAACTGAGTGCATGGAAGTCATCTACTTGGATAGGGAGGGGACACAGAAACAGGAAGAAGTCCAAGAACACAGATGATGCATTCACTTTGGAGCAAATTCAATTTAGGGCACCTGGAACTGAGAGGGAAGGGAGGAAGGTCTGGACTAGCTGGGTAGTTCACCCCAGGAAGTGCACAAGGAAAAAAAAAAAAACTCACATACCCACACAGTAAAAACCAAATTAGAATCTTATTGGGACTCTTTACTTCATATTATATTTAAATTTCATGAATATATACTCTAGCTGCTAAAAATTCCTAGAGAGAAAAACTATTCTTCTGAGAGAATGAAACATTACACTATTCTAATCACACTGTTCTAACTTGAAAAAGGACAAACATGGGATGATGGGACTGATAAGTTTGTCATTTGGAGGAAAGTTGAAACTTCTTTTGAAAAGCATCAAAAAGATTGGAAGGGTTATTCCTTTAGCTCCTTTATTTAGATGTATCAGCACAGTAAGGGAATAGTTCACTCATGCTAAGAAGGAAAAAATACTAGGATCTAGGAAAATGAGAGCACACTGTTTCGTATGTTACTGAATCTAAGCTGTGTGACTCTAAGATTTAGGATGCTTTATAAAGTCAAATTTACGTCAAGTATGATTGAGTAGTAGAGTCTTATTACTGAGCTTTCTATGATTTTAAAAAGAAGTGCCCTTTCTTTAAATTAATATATAATACTATGTCCAGATATCTTGATAGAATTGCACTTTTATTTTTTAAATAATTGTGTTGAAAGTTATCAGTTTTTACCTTGACTTGATTTAAGGCATTTATACACTATCATTTAGATTACAGAACATATAACCAAAACAGTACCTAGTTAATGACAGGTTATTTTAATCAAAAGCACAGTACCTCCATGAAAAAATATTCATTTAAGCGTTAAAACCGTGAATGGAAATATATTTAAAATCGTGTATTATAAATCACAAGTTCCAGAGTTAATTCCCAATTTGTCAGCTTCAAACTCCATACACAAATCTTTTAAAAAATACAAAACACAAAACTGATTTTGTTGGTTTTCAAAATTAAATTACATATTTACTATTAAAAATCTAGGGGTAATATTCAATGGCCTTTTTAAAAACTGCATGTAAAATACAAGAAGACTCACAAAGTTAAAAGTGGTAAAGACCTAGATTAAATAATATTTTAAAGGTATGTTAAAGATGCAGAAAATAAAAAGTAAATGATCTATACATTCTGTCAACTCTGCCAAGACACAGATATACATACCTTTCTAATTTTCTGCATCTTTAACATACCTTTAAAATATTGTTTCATTTAGGTCCATACCTATCTGTCCATATGTATTTCTTCATTTTATGTCATAAATGAGCCACTCAAAATATATAAATTTGAATCAAATTATAAAGTAAGTTAAATGTATTAAGGATACTTCTTTTTAAAAATAATTCTACGTCAATTTACTTAACAAGTGAACTATCATTAGCTTTGTATATTAAGATTATCAACTTTAGGATTTGCTTTAGAGTGAGGTACACCTGTATATGCAGATTTTCTTAAAGATTACTTCCAACAATCTTATTTTTAAGACTATTGGACTTATTTTATTTCAAATGTGGTAAGTTGAACAAAATCAATACTGAACAACATACCTTTTAGATAAATTAAGGCTTTGGTGAAGAGGTTCTAATTTTTGACATGTCTCTAGGCTGTCAACAGATGTCGAAGGCAATGAGTCTGATTGCACCTTGTTGGCATCACATAAATTAGCATCGTTTCTAGGTAGGGTCTTTCTGAATTTTCGTCCTAAATCCGTCCATAGGACATTCGTCAACATAACTTTGAGTTGCCTGTTACACACATAAATAATTAATACATACAATACTAAACATTGTATAATACATGAATTCATCACAAACTATAATAAATGAAAACCTCCAGGAATTGTTATTTCAGTTCTTCAAGCAATTAACTAGAATAGTAAATAGCATAAGTAGAAAATCTGCCTAACCATTCTCAAATACACATTAAAGAGTAAACCCTATTTCACTTAAGTTGGAACTTTCTGCAGCATTCAGTCTATATACTAAAACTGGAGTCATACTCAAGTTCAGTTGTTGGATTCCTGGTAATCCATCTGCATGTATTCACACTATTTGTGGTACAATATACATTTTCACATATCATCACAGAGACAACCACTTTCTCAAATCAAAATGTATTTTTTTTTAGCATTTGTTGATTCGGAAAACATTACTAAAACAGAATTAAGGGTGCAACAGTACATCATCTACAGTCTTAAGCCTATATGGTCTTAAGATACAGATTTAATTTTACCTTATTTCTAAAAATACATCAATTTAAAATATTTACTTTTACTGAACCTATATCAGTTTCAAAAGTGAAATTGATAAATGCAAGCATTTCCAGTTTTTGTCTCATATTTTGCCCATCACTCATTCAATACATCTTTGTGCTGATTATACTTGGAGAACTGAGTTCTGGAACCACGGATGACAGTTTCTTGCAGTACTGTGAAAAGCTACTAAGTGGACTTGAAACATTGTCTAATGAAGAATGCTGAAAGAATTGGAAATGTTTAATCAGAAGATTGTCTATTCTACCCCCCAGTACCAGTTTGGGGCACTGTTTATTTACCAAATGTAAGAATATTAAGAAACAGAATGCCAAGTGTTCATGTATTTTTAAGACAAAACAGATCTCAAAGAAATCACTTGTTTGCAGCCACTTGGGACTACAGCTTCAGACCATCTGGAAGAAGGGTTCAAGTTTTCAGCAGAACTTCCACAGAACCCACTGAAACTCCAAACACTTTGAGTTTTAAACAGAAGTTTAATCTGTAGGTTTTAGAATTACCATTGAAGAATAAAGAGATGAATGATATTTCTATGAGTGAATGCTAATAATTCATTTTTCATTCAACAAATACTTACCAAATACCTTCTAGTGAAACAACTAGAGATTCAGCAATGAACAAGTCAGTTACAGTTCCTGCCTTCATGGAACTTCATGGAACTTCCTCCGCAGAGGAATTACCCAGTTATTTAATTACAATTGTGTTGAGTGATCTGAAGGAAAAGTACAGATGCTGCACTTCTTCTGAACCAGATCAGGAAGATTTTACTGAGAATATGACCTTTAAGCTGAAACCTCAAAGGATAGGCACTATCCAAAGAAAACAGGTAAAAATGCAGAGTGGTCCAAAAATGGGGACAAATGCAAATGCTCTGATATGAGTGAACCCTGTTCAAGGAAATTAAAGGACTTACCTGGCTCAAGTGCTTAAAGTGAAGAAAAAATTTTTATAAGATAAAAATGGGCATTTAGACAGGACTTTGTGGACTACAGTAAGGATTTAAGACTTTATATCAACAATAGAAATCAACTAGTTTTAACACAAGAATGAGATCAGAGCTGCATTTTCAAAGATCACTTTGATCCTTATGAAGAATGAAACGGAAGCATTAAGAGTAAAGAGTAATAAAAATTAATTTAGAGAAGTAATGGTGACTTTATCAGGGACAGTTTAGGGGAATGGTGTGAGCAGAAACCAGAATATAGTGTGATGAGTAAATCGAAAAGAGGAAAGGGTTACAGCAAATGTTGGTGGTTGACATATGGCTCTAAAAGAGAGATACAGGACAATAGCTGAAGATAGATGTGAGGTGTAGGGAAGGTTTCCTTAGTTATTGGTTAGCTAGTTAGCTTGAGGTAGAAAATATTTGTGTAAGTTTAAGTGCTTATAGGAAGAGGTCAACAGAGTGGGAGATGTTGAAGATACAGGAGACAAAACAACTAATACATTAAGTTTCCTAAGAAGCAGCGCAGTAAGAACTAGCATTACTTGAATATATGCTATACACTAGGTACTATGCTAAGCATTTTAATGATTACTTTATTTAATCCTCACAAGTACTCTCTGAGGTACAATGGTAATTCTTTGCAACTGAAGAACAAGATATAATGATTAATAACTAAGAACACAGTAAAATGGGTAAGTAGTGTAAGTGGGATTCAAAACGATATACTCTCATCTCTATTGCTAGCACTTTTAACTGCTTCATTATGCTGGTTTATGATGCGGGAAGGGACACCCCTTTCCTTCTTCCAGGAAGTAGAAGGAACCAAGATAATCTTTTTCAAAGTGATACAAAATGTAAAAGAACCCAGACTTAAGAAGAGAAAAGGTTTGTTTTTTCATCATTGTGGAGATGGAGAACACAAGGTAACACAGCAGGATTATCTTGTAGTTTAGGAATCCAGTCAGATTAATAATCATGAATTTATATTGCCACAAATATGCTCTGTTTTGTCATTTTCTTTCCATCACTGCTCACCTTGGTGTCAGCACAGTACAAAGAGATAACTAGGTTCGTAGGTGATCATTAATTACAATGGAGAGATCTGACAGCTACCATGTTATCCTTAAATAATAAAATGCAGGACTACCAACAGTGGGATTAGAAGACATTATGTATCCCTTGATATGATGCAATAAGCAAATAAAATAAGCTATGAACTATTCTTGCCAAAAATGTAACATGAACCTAATTAGGATAAACCCAGACAAATCATAAAAATCTGGAATGTATAATGAATCACCCTGAATTTGATCCTTGATTTTTTTTTAAATAAAATAAAGGACATTCTGGGGACATTTAGGGAATTCTGATTCTAGACTTCATATTAGATAATATGAAATCATTGTTAATTTTCTTCGTAAAGTATTATGGTTGCTATATAAAAGAATGTTCCACAGAAATGCAGGCAGAAGTGTTTAGAGGTGAAGTGCCATAATGTCTGAAACTTACCTTTATATGGCTCCAAAAAAATGTGTATTATATATATATGTGAATATTTGACAGTCATTTAGATAAACATATGAGAGAAGGCAAATATGGAAAATGTTAACGACTGGTGAAACTAGATGAAGGATATATTAGTATTTGTTATACTCTTGACGAAATAATTCTGTCTGGAATTCTGAACCAAGAAAAGTATGAACTACAAGGAAAAAATGTTATGCGTGAACATAGTCACCATGGTGTTATTTATAAAAGTGACAAACTAAAATTAAGTGCAATAGCAAAGTGCTCAAGAAAACCACAATAAAGTCACTTAATGAAATGTTACTTATTAGTCTCTTAGAGTCTACAATAAATTTTAAATGTGCCTGGCTTTCTATGGGTTTTTTTTTTCTACTTGTATCTGTTTTCTATACTAAGCAAGCCCTATTTATGTGAAGAAAAATGTCAACTAATTATTTATTTCTTTAAAGAATTTTAAACAGTTCAGGCTTACCTAACCAAAAATTATCAGTTGACTAGTGAAATGAATATGTAAAATCTTTTATAAGCTTTCATAACTGTACAACTTAAAATTCTAAGTGATTAAATAAAAATAATTATAAAATCTTAAGGTATTCATTTAGTCAAAGAGGAAAAGTGTTATTAGGAATCTGCTAAATTATTTGAAAAATCATCAGGGGGGGGTAATTTTAATAATATAAAAATATCCAACACAGGAAAAAAGACATTTTGGTCACTCAGACCAAAGAAGAATTTATGTGAAAAATAACAAACCATTGGTGATTTCACTGATTATTCTAATAGTGTGGATCTAAAAGAAAAAGACAAATTGGATTCTCTGGGAAGATACCTATTTCATGTTTATGTATTTAGATTTACTGTAATTTGGCTAACTAAAAGTATCCTAGAGCAGTATACACATTCATTGAGCTATACACTAAGATTTATGCATTTTACCAGACATACCTCAATAAAAATTAAAATCAAAAAACGTTTTAAAAAATAACATGCTATAAACATAATAAAGGCCATATATGACAAATCCACAACCAACATCACACTTAAAGTGTGAAGGTGAAAGCTTTTCCTTTAAGATCGGGAACAAGACAAGGATGACAACTCCCCCACTTTTACTGAACATAGTTCTGGAACTCCTTGCCATGGCAATCACACAACACAAAGAAATAAAAGTCATCCAGATTGGTAATGAAGAAGTTGAACTGTCACTGTTTGCAGATGACACGATACAGTACATATAAAACCCTAAAGAATCCACTCCAAAACTATTAGAACTAGAATCTGAATTCAGCAAAGTTGCTGGATACAAAATTAATACACAGATATCTGTTGCATTCCTATACACTAACGATTAACGACCAGAAAGAGTAATCAGGAAAATAATTCCATTCAAAATTGCCTCAAAAAGAATAAAATACCTAGGAATAAACCTAACCAAGGAAGTAAAATACCTATACTCTGAAAACTGTAAGACACTCATGAGAGAAATTACAGAGGACACTAATAAATGGAAATCCATCCCACGCTCTTGGGTAGGAAGAATTAATATTGTCAAAATGGCCATCCTGTCTAAAGCAATCTAAAGATTCAATGCAATCCCTATCAAAATACAAACAGCAATTTTCAATGAACTAGAGCAAATGGTTCTAAAATTCATATGGAACCACAAAAGACCACGAATAGCCAAAGCAATCCTGAGAATGAAGGATAAAGGAGGGCGGATTCCCCTCCCTGACTTCAAGCTCTACTACAAAGCAACAGTAATCAAGACAATTTAGTACTGGCACAAGAACAGACCTGTAGACCAATGAACAGACAAGAGAGACCAGACATAAACCCAAGCACATATGGTCAATTAATAGATGATAAAGGAGCCATGGATATACAATGGGGAAATGACAGCCTCTTCAACAACCGGTGTTGGCAAAATTGGACACGTACATGCAAGAGAAAAAAACTGGATTATTGTCTGCCCAATACACAAAAGTTAACTCAAAATGGAT